TACTCTTGCACAAGGAAAGGGTTACCTCACATGAGCTCCCAGGGCCATTCAGAAAGAAGTCATTGTGAAACAATGCTGTTATCCCTGGAACTAAGACAGAGCTAGGAACCTACATCTGTAGTTTCACAATACCAGTAACCTTCATTTTTTGGCACCAGGACATGGCAAGGGCTGTTTGTAGAGCTAGGTTTTATCCTTCTGTCAGCCTGTCCATTGCTTTGCTTGTGAAGTGCATGAGGATCCTAAGGGCAGTAAGAAACTGCTCTTCCCCCGCTTCCCTTTCAGAGGAACTCAGCTTGCCCTGGTTTCCTGCATKTGCTGGCTCTCTGAGGTCCATATTGACTTGCAGCATTCACACATCTGGCTTGTGCTCCCAGGACTTATCCTTCCCAGAAAGCTGGGASTGCAGAGTTCTCAGGCTGTGTCTAAGCTGGGACTCATGAGAGGYGAGACAAGTGTGAGCCTCTCCAACAGCTTGTGGCTTCCCAGAGGCACATCCTGCTCCCTTCCTACCCTTCCTGCAGTCTCCTTTCAGCACCAGTTCTGACACTGGTGGATGTCACTGGATTCCAGTGAAATGGTAGGAAGGTGAAGAACTCCTTATGGAGATATTGCATGGATGTTTTAATTTCTYAGAAAAAGCTGCAGGGATAGGCAGAGGTGGGGCCTTGCTGACTCCACAGCAAAATACAGTCCTTCTCCTTTTGGAGAGGAGATGAAATCCAGATGCTTGTCCTGCACTTGATTCCTGACTCAGAAATTGCAGTGTGATTAACCACTTTGGAAAGACTCATTGTGCCAGCAGTACAGCTCTGTCATTTACCTGGGAATCCCAGAAAAGCCTCAGTTGTCATTTAGGGGAATTTTAAGATTTTTTTTCCCATCATTGCTCCACTTTCTAAGAGGATGAGGTTGTTTTTATGTACCCTTAACACCAAGAACTTTAACAAAAAAAAAAAAAAAAAAAAAAAAAAAAAAAAAAAAAAAGAAAAAGAAAAATGTTGCAGCAGCTGCACAAACAGCCTAATACAGACATCACATCCCCACTGCTTGGGGCCCAGTGTGTGCAGCCCAAGGAGTGTTTGCTCTTATCTCTTGCATGGTGTGAGCTTGCATTGACTGACTTGTGGGGCCAGAACATGGACCAGGGACCCAGAGTGTGGGGATGGCAGGGGGAAGGAGATGTGGGAATGTTTGGTAGGGGATAGTCCCTTTGTGGAGGTGGAGTTAGGAACCAGAGTGATAGTGGCTGGAGAAGCATACAGAGGGCTTGGGAGAGAACACACCATCAAGCKTGTAGGTTTTGCCAGCATTTAAATAGTCATTTACATAGATCCCTTTCCAACATGGAGAGCAGCCCACAAGAGAGCCTGTGCTGGGCATATGTTACTCTGGCTGCATGCAGACCTCTGCCCTGCTCTTTACCAAACTTCATGAGACTTCTGTTCGAGTTCAGCAAGGTCCTTGTGGATGATGATGTGCTGTTTGTCAGCCACTCCCATTAATTTAGTCCAAGATAGAGGTTTGTTGGTGTTGCATTTTTGTCCTCATGATTTTCTTTTTGACTTTCAAATCATATTTCAACAGCACTTCTTTYTCTGCTGCAGCACCTCTTTCTAGGGCTTTTGGCATTAAAGAGTTCAGGACTTGTGCATGTTGCTTTCTTCACTCTGTAAAATCCCTGGCAAAATTGCTGCTCATGTTCCTCAGCTGATGTGCTTCCCTTGTGTATTCAGAGTGGCTCGTGCTGCTCTGTGCCGGGCTCTGGGCAGACCAAGGGACCTCCAGCCTGACAGGACCCAGTGAGCAAACCCTGATCCAGGCATCTCTTGAATGAGCRTGGCAGCCAACCAATACTCACTGCCTGGGGCTCACTGAGATCATACAAAGCATAAGATGGCAGCTGTATAGGTAGTTACATATAGATACACGTACACTTTACTATAAATATAGCATTTTTAATATTTTCAGTGAGTTTAGTATTCCACGTGAGTTAAAACCCTCCACAGATATCCTTTGGGGTCACTACCATAATACTCCACCATACTTTAGTCAATACAGAGTTCAGACAGAGTTTGCTGTTTAGATGCACACAAAGATCCCTTTTGTTTTCTCCTGCCAAGACTTCCAGCTGATATAATAATTGTACTAATGAGGTTTAGTCTTTAAGAAAACTTCTGGATTTGGTCCAGAAGGGCACTCAAGAGTTAAAGACTGAATCAGAAGGTTTCTCTGTTAATCKAATATTGAGCATAGCTGCAGTGTTACAGAAATAATAAAGTGCTGATATTTGCAGTAAACTGTGCCTGGATATCCTCACTGAATAAAGCAGATGGAGAAGAGTTTCCCTCCAGCAGTGACTTGTGCCATGTGTCCCATTGAGTAGAGCTTTGCAATAGTTGAGTTTCACTGTATCAATGTCACTGTGGAATAGAGATTGTTCTGGTTTGGGTTCTACAGAGCATTTCCCTCAGATATTACTTTGTGACCAGCAGGAAAGGAAGGAGGCAACAGGTCYGCCTTTAACCTTGAAAAATTCAACAAGGATAATAGGAGTCCCTGAAATTCTGCTGGGTCCTTTTTGGCTTTCAGTGGTGTGAGAAATGGTGTGAGTCCTGTCCCATCCAAGTGCTTTCCCTTTGTTCATGCTTACAGCCCACAGAGATCCTTCAAGTGGCAAACTCAAGGAAAATAGTGCGGGAAGGTATTGGACTGTTGATACTTGCTGTCCTCAGGATGTAGGTTAGTCCTCTCCCAGTCATCTGATGCTGTCCTGCTGCTGTGTTCCTCAAAYATGGAATGCTTGTGATCACCCTCCAACCCTTTCAGGACTTGTAGGAGGAATCTGTTTAACTATTAAGGTTGGAGGCAAGAGTGCATTTTCAAGGTCTGAGATGACGTACTGCCAAGTTTCTCAACTAGAAGTGTGAGAGTTTTTCCTGGCATGCTTTCAAATTAAAAGGAAAACCAAAAAAAAAAGCCTTGATTCAGAAGGTACTTAGATTTTAATCTCAGCAAGACATAAACCCATGAGTAATTTTGGAACTTATTTTCATTTTCTGATTTCAAGAACAAAAGACAAAGAGTTTGGTTTTCCTGTATSAGGGCAGTTTCTGGGCTTAACTGTCATCCTGAATTCTGAGGAATAAAGAAGGAAGAGAAATATGAATGAGAARTTCCTGAGTACCAGAATTTCCTACTTCCAAGTATCTGTTTTTCCAGATTTCTGAAAACTTGGTTTTTGTGGAAGCAGACGCATGGCCCTCAATAAAGAAAACCTGGTTTTGTGCAAAGTTTGGTGTATGGAGATTTCTGCCAAGGCAAACTGTGCTCCCAGGCAATTATGGCAAATGTGAAAGTTGTAAGAAACCAACAGACAAATAGAGGTCAAAGTCCTGAGTTCCAGCATGTGAACTGCTAAGCAGCCCCCCACATGGGAAGGCCAGTGCAGTTTTTATTATCATATGGTCAAAGTTGAATATTGCACCAAGTCTGTAAAGGCCACACATTGAAAGAGACAAAGAGGCTCAGTCTTCATTTCCATATCAGGAGGACAAATGGGTTTTCCTATGAGAGGAATCTGTTAGTTGGAATAGTCATAACTATGTCTTGGCCTTCCCAGGCCATGCTTGGCCTCTCCCTTAGTCTGGGACATGACACTCTTTTACCTTTCTTGCTTCTTCCAGTCTCCTCCTTGACTGCATAATAATAATTTTCCAGTTGTTTTATGTGCTGAGTTAAAAACTAAATTTGATGGAAATTTAGAGACTACAGTTAAATCCTCCATGGCATTTCATGGAAGCAAATGGACAAAATCCACTTGAGTCTTGAGCCTATTGATACTGAGTGGTCAGCCCTGCTATGAATTTAAAGGGAAGAGCTTTCCCAGAAACATCAGGATGATGATAGAAACATCAAAGTCATRTAGGGATTAAGAAATTCCACAAAATCAGCAATGTTTTGCAGTGAAGTGAAGTAAAGAGTCACATTAGAGCTGAGGAGACGTGTTATCACATGCCAAGTGTATTTGCCAAATGAGACTGAAGCGTGGAGACCCAGAAATTGTTACCTAGGGACCATGGTTTTATCTTGGGCAAAACCATGCATTTTTCTTGAACTATTTTCAGTTACCCAAGATAACTTTTTGAGAAGATACAACCACAATAAAGACACAACCACAATAAAGACATTTTAGCCTATCAAATCCATTTCTTGAGATATGACATGTGAAATAGTATTGCTTAGTTATAAGATCAGGTTTAGTGGGACAAATTCAAAATCTGCTGAAATGCAMATGTAAATCCACACAGGCTAATTCCTCTTCTCCCAAATCTAGCTGGGAAAGGATCACAGAAAGCATCTTTTAGWAAAGCTGCAGGCAGATGTGGAGTCTTGTCTTTAACTTCTTGAGTGCAAGGASAACTGTATAATTATGAGCCTGTTAAAGATCGGGGATCAGCTGCACTGTGGAGCAATCCCTGCTCTCATCACTGCTCTGGGAAAGATCAGGTCTGTCCCAATGAGGAGCCGTGCACAAGGCTGGACCCCAGAGCTCTGGGCACCAAGGTGTGCAAAGTGCTGCTTTATTCCAGTTCTGTTGTGCTCAGAAGATGCATGCTGTGAAAAAAAAGGTAAAACTATAGAAGTAGAAAGATGGGAAGAAAAGAAGGGAGCAAGGGAATATAGTGGATCAATCTGAATGGAAACAGACCCAGGGTTCCAGATTTGTATAGTGTATCCAGCTTTTACTTCTTTGAGTAGTTTATAGGAACGAAACACCCCAAATATGCAATGAATCACTGAGGTAAATTTCCCAGTGATTCACCAGGCAGGCTGCTTTTGTTAGGTAATTTGCCTAGTGAGACAAGAATGGGAAGCCAGGGAGTCTGTGTGAAGCCGAGGAGCAGTGTGGAGATTTCTCTTTGAAGTGCTCCAGCAGTGAATGCGTTAATTTTTTTCATCAGAGACTTACAAAAAACAGACAGATGGTAGATCGGCAAGAAAAGTTTTTAAGAGTGAAAAGTCCCTCACGCCTAAGAGAGGAGGAAAGAAGAGTTCACTGTTTCCCTTTAGCAGCTTTTGATGTTAGAAAGAATGTAGTCCTCATGTAAATGTAACCCCAGTGGGGGCAGAGCCCACTGCAGTGGGACCTCCCTCACGAAAGTGCCGGGATTCTCTACTTCCCCCCCGAGCAAAGCAGGCGCATTCTCGACAGGAGCGGGAGCCTTGCAGCTCCTCCGGAGCCASAGGAATAGCCATGTCCACGGGGAAGATCTGCTGCCTGGTGCTGCTGACCCTGGCGGTACTGACGGTGGCAGTGACACTGGTGGTGATCCTGACTCAAGGCAGGCGCGGTGCCCAGCAGTACCTGCACGSTGCCGTGGCTGCTGACACCGAGACCTGCTCCCTCATCGGCCGGTAGGTGCCCGGACCGCCCGGCYCCTCAGCTCCCTTGGTGGGTGTGTTGTGACTAACAGACGGGACGGGTACTAACCACGGGGATGAGCTGGGTGTCTGCCCCGGTCCCGCTCCGGGCTGAGCAGCGATGCTGCTCCGGGGTGACTCCAGCTGGGAGAGMAGACGGAGCCTCTGCCTCCGTGGCGGATGCTTACTTTCATTATCCGATGTCACAAAAAATTGCGACTCTGCAAGCCCTTGGCCTTTTGGAAGGTATAAATATTTATGGTATACAAGTACAAGGCTGGTTTTAAGTGGGGATGCAGGAAATTTACTTTTTATGGCATGGTAGTTCTGTAGAACAAATGAAGAAGTTAGAGGAGCATGCAGAGACCTGCAGCTGCACTTCCACAGAGACAAGGAAGACAGGCATGGAAAGGAGGACTGGCATCCCAGCCTTTTGGGAGTGTCTGGACTGAAACCTGCAGCGTGTCTGCTATGAAGTAAAATAATACAAAGAGCAGATTTAATTGAAATTCAGTCAAAACAGTACAAACACAAAAGACATACAGCACTTGAAAAGAAATATATAGGTTTAAAAAATCCTTTAGATGCCCAGGTTGTACCACTTTAGTTTGTTTAATAACGTCTCTCTCAAACATTTTGAGTCCTATGTTATTATTTTACTGTTACCGTTCCTTCAGTTATCAAATGCCTGTGTCCATGAAAGCAGAAGGATGGAAGTTGACACACTGTGTACGATGCTGGATGCTCCAGTGATGGATGTTGGAGCTGTGTGCTCTACCTTGTGGCAGGGGGGGATGAAATGAGACCACACATTGCCATGTCTCACCTGTGATTCTGGCAATGACACAGCATTTGTCAGTAGCTGGAGAAAACATACTGTGGCTGCACATATGTCAGGGAGTGAATGGGGTTTTTTTTATGTGAAGCCAGAGGTTAGTTCTTGAGAAAGCAGAAGTGGTTTTAAAATCACTGTTAATGAAAAGAGAGGAAAATTAATTGTTGGATTACCAAAAAAATCTGCTGGGGAAAACCATGCATTTGTTTTTGCAGCTATTGTAAATTTTAACTTGATGTAGTGAAGGCACTAGAGTGAGAGCCACAGAAATCTAYGGTCAGTGGACAATGAGCAGCTTTGGCTGGTTGGCTACTGCTGCTGGGCTCTCAYCTGCTTCCTTCTCTTGCCAAGAAGCACTGCAGGCTTCCACAGCCTCCACCATTGCTGGAAAGTAAATTTCCTGCACCTCCAGCACACTTGCTGACAAGGTCTGTGCTGTCCCTCCWGTCTGATGGACCAACTTAAATTTCCTACAAATAGTTTGTCCATGATCCCCACAAAATCCTGCCCTTGCCCCACCTTCCCATCATACTTTTTTTCCCCTTTTGCCTATCATGGGGTGAGACTAAGGCAAAGCCAAGTAGCCCTCAATGCCAATTCCTAAAGATACACTACAGGGCTGGTTTGTCCTTGCTCTTCACCACTGACCTTGCAGACCCTCTCTCCTGCTGGGACCCCAGGCTGCCCCCCACAGCCACCCCTTTCATCCTGCAAATCCCTGCTGAGCTCACAGGAATCCATGCGGGGGATGCTCAGAGAACTGGTCCAGTGCCTAAAGCCTCGGAAGCTAAAAGCAGCACCTAATCTCTGACTTAMTTCTAAATTTTATTCTTTGATTTARAAATCTTGTTTCTTTTAAACTCAAACCACATGCTTTGTGAGTTGTAAATAATGAAATTCCTGGGGCACTACATGATACTCTGTTRGTTTCAGATTCTTCTGTTTAGGAATCTTTGTGTGCTTCTAATAGAATTGTCAATTGAACTTACTGCAAATAACCGAACTTAACCTCTTGCTCAAAGAGCAAACTTGTATTTCAGTGAGTGGGATAGTAGTTTGGGGAAAACAGCTCAGGGCCCATGTGTTTTCTTGGGGATTGTGTTCATGGACTCTGGGGCTGTGGAAGGTTGGACTTTCTGAAATCTTCATACAACCTTTGGCTCTCTGCAGAAAGTGAGAAAWCTCAGTGAGCCTTCAGCCTGTCATCATGCATGCTGGCAGGTCCTGAGCTAAACTACCCCTTAATCATCTGTGCCCAGCTCTCAGTGCTGAACAACCCTGGATCTCTTGCTGTGCTTTTTCTGCTGGAAATTGGGGACTGAAAGCAAAATTGTACTGCTGTCTGGTCCRGACTAGGACCCTGCCCCAGAAGAAAACTTGTCCCTGAATGAAGTGAAACACTTTGATGAACAGGTATGGGAAGATAAAAGGAGAGTCAGAGCAGTCTTTACCCAAGGATGTTTGTTTGGTACCACAGTCCATCTCAGTAATTTGTCCTCACGTGAAGAACCTAGAGGAGACAGGAGAAAATTGCCCTGTGACAGTAAAAGGCACTCAAACTTTACCTCCAACTCTGAACCACTTGTTCCTTCCTGGCAATGGAAGAGGCTTTTTTTCATCAAGCATGCTAAAAGCTCTCTATTCCTTACCAGTGTGCTGTTTGAGCTCTGTCATCCACTGCTCTGCATTCCTTTGTTTCCCAAATGGCAGAAACAAGAGCCAGCATAAGGCCAGGAACAGATTTAGGAAAAATGTTGATTCCCAGCAGTGGGATTCACTGCAGCAAGGCAAGCTGACCTGGCCTGGCTCAGCAGTCATCTCTGATCCCACTTCTCCAGTACAGGCTAGCATAAGCCTTGGGAATTAGCATAAACCCTGGGAACTGGCTTTTTCTGAAATCAACACCCCCTGGGGGGACAGGATGGTGGGGAGGGTGAGAATGGTGAGAATTTAACAGTCAGAAAATGTCTGAAGTCCTGGGAAGGTCGGTTCTAGCCAGAGAATCTGGTGCAAAAAWCCTTTTCAGTGATGGCCCAGCAGATTTCTGGAGTATTTTTATGTCCCAAAGGATTAGGTTTCCCTTCTTGTATGTTTTCAATTTGGTAACTGGCCCTTTTTTACAGAAACAGTTGTTTTTGCTCTTCATATATCTTAAGGAGGCAGCTGCTGTATCATAGGTGRTCTCCCAGCCCCCAGCCTTCTTTACCAGAAATAAAAAAAGGTCAATAGAATTTAATACTTTTGCATTTCTGGTGTGTTTAAAAGAGCTTCAGGGTTCYCTCTAGCCTAGGGCAGAACTGTAGGCTTGGTCTGCAGTCCAGCACAGACCATCTTTGCTGTGAGCAAAGCGCCATCATTCCCCCTTCCAGTGAGGTGAACCCCTGCTTGCTGCTGCTGTTATGATCTTGGTTGTTAACACYCTCTTCTGCTCTTTGTTGTGAGGAAACTCTATTAATGATTAAACCCTAAAGCTGAAGCTAACTAGCAGGAAGGATATAGGACAAAACATTTTGTTATCACATCTTGTCAGCTGCMACACTGATATCTCTAGAGAGTCCTGATAAGGTGCCACATTTTGATTAACAATTTGGCATTATAATTAAGCTCATTGCAGCAGAGATCCATCTAAGAGAGCCAGGTAATAGGACATCAATCCAGATGTGCTTTTGCTGTATATAATGGCTCTAAATTGTCCAAATTCCAGGGAAGTGGCAGGTCCCTGACTGGAAGTGGGTGAGCCATGCACAGGGAGCCGTGTGTGACACACCAAAGCCAACTGTGTATTTTCTATTGAGTGTCAGTCTCGGCAGAGGCTGGAGGGAAAGGTGTCAAGGCTGGAGGCCAGTGTGAATGTGCTGTGAATCTGGGTGAGAATCTGGTGCTTTTCAGATTTTCAGAAAACGTGCCTGAGGTTACATGTTAAGGCCTAAATGTGTTGTATTGAAATGCACACTGTACCGTCTCAAAGCTTCTTTTTAAATTTGTTTTTCACTGCCAGAACCATGGTTTTCCCAATCACCAGGCTTTGTACATATGCTGCCTCACGGCCCATAATTGAGGGACTCCTGGGGAGCACTGTCCCAGGTCAGTGTAGCAGTCCTCCTTCCCCCTTTTTCCAAATTTCTAACATACTTTCTGGGTCTTTTACAGAGGTGACTCAGTTCTTTAGGAAGCCTTTGTGTCCTTCCTTTCTGTGGCCAGCAATTAAAAGCTTCAGTTTTGGAAAAACACCACTCAGGGGCATTGGTGTGGTGAGTCCATCCCTTGCTGCAAGGGGCTGGATGGGCAAGCCTGAGCCTCGGTCTCCACATTCAGAGCTACAGCCAGGGAGCTCCTAGAAAGCCAAAAGCCATGCAGACCCTAACAGAAAGCCTGGTGTTCCCTACTGTTTCTTTTTTTCCCCCACTTCTCCTCATGTCATTTCCTTGCAGGCAGTGGTTCTGAGACACTTACAGAAACAAAGGAAAGCCACAATCAGTGTGCCTGCTGGCAGCATCCTGTTCCCGGACACAGCAGGTCCCAGCCATATCAGTGGATGTAAAATAAACAGCAGTCCCTACGTGTGCTCTGTGTTCCCATGCAAACTCTGAGAACAGTCGCACTGCAATTAATGAACTAYTCCACTTTCCCCTCTGGCTTTGCTTTATCTGAGCAATAACCCAATAAAACAGTCAGAAACCTTCCTAGTAAACACCARTGCTGGCTACTGGGGGGCTGGGCAGGAAATGCCACCCCATTTCCACTGCAAGGAAAAGTTGTTTTACAGATGGGYTTGAGGGAGGCATTTGTTGAAAAACATTTCTCTAAGACAACTTCATTGCTTTCAGCAGCAAGAGGCTGTCTTAATGCCTGTGTGTTCTTTGATGTGGCTGTACCGTGGTGTAAGAAGTTGAGAGGTTTTTCTTCCTGTTTGTTTTTTTTTTTTTTTGTTTTGTTTTGTTTCTTTGTTGGCTTTGTCTTTGGGAATACAGGGAGGAGGGTGGGGCATTTTTGTGCTAATAAGCCCAGGAAGTCCCATTGTAGGAGCAATGAAGTGACTGTTGAGCTGACACGTTGTCTCAAGAGTTTGCCTTACAGGACCCAGAGTTCCCATTCCAGTGCCCTGTCCAGTTGACCAGCATATGCTTCTATTAGGAAAGGCATTTGGGCAGCTAGAGATCAGTTGTTTGGTTCCTAGCATGTGGAAAGCTCACATCTGTGCAGAGACCATCCTTATCCATGTCTGGGAACTCCTTGCTGTCCCTTTTTGTCCACAGCATTTGTGAGCAGCTGCAGTTCTCTCTGTCCCGTAACTCTTTGCCCAGAGGAAGCCCAGCCTCACTCAGTCTGGCCCCCGGCTGCTCTTCTGTGTACTCTCCTTTYTTTCCCTCTAATTTTTCCTTCTCACTCCAGCAGAAGGTGCCCCCTCTGTGACCTCACACTCCATTCTGCTGCCAGTTCCTTTCTCCAGCTGCTTTCCTCAAGCTGGGGCTACCTTGCTGCTGCCCCAAGGAGGCATTTTCACACGACTTCTCCAGTCTGTCATTCCTGGATTCTAACATCATGTTTTTTCTTCCCTTTCCATCACAGGGACATCCTGAAAAGTGGAGGCACAGCTGTGGATGCTGCCATTGCTGGCTTGATCTGCACTTCAGTGATGAACCCTCAGAGTTCAGGCCTGGGTGGTGGGGTCATATTTACCATCTACAATGCCAGCACAGGTATGGGCCATCCCTGGCCTCTCCATGTGAGGTGGTCTTGTCCCTCTGCAGACACACAAGTGTGATGGAAAAAATCAGAATCCTTCCTGTTGGAGCAATATTCTGAATGCAAAAGCTGCATCACAAATCACACTTATGCTCTTAATCCAAAGCATCCACCACAGGCAGATGTGATTGTCATTTCACAACAAGAACGTGTGTGAGGAGGAAAAAGCTTTGATATGACATGAACTGAGTTTGCTTCTCCTTSCCCCTTCAAAGCAATCCCAAAGTACATTTCAAAGTCACATTTCAGTCTTCAAYTGACTGCAGCCAGGTGTGAGTGGTGCTGTGTGAGTGAAGTGGGCAGGAGTGGAGAGAGTGTGTGCCTGCAGATTGGGCTGTCATTGCTTCAGCTGAGTCCTCGGGATGGGACTTCAGGGGCTTGTCCTGCCCAGCAGCTCAGGCAGTGCCTGCTGACACTGGGGCTGTGTCTCACACTGCCCTCGACAGTGCTGGTAAAATCTCCTGTCCCAGGAGATGCATYTCTACTSCAGAAATCTAAACCYAGCAATGTTCARTGCCTGCTGGGGAGCCTTTCTRTGCTTGGCTTAAACYCTGGTGTTGTTTTGTTTTTWTATTCTTAATGTGGGGCTTTTTAARTCTTGGCTTCCAAAAACCCCCAGAGCTTATATATCTAATAGTTATATCAACAATGAACACACTAACAATATCATAGTCTTAAAACCCCTGCCAAGTAGTCTCACAGAGTCACAAATCTGGAAATGTTTGGATGTATCTTATGCAAGAGCTTAATTTGGCAGAACACCTATATTTTTCTTTTTTTTCCTTTTGGCAGAGCCATGGAACTTTGTTTCCTGACAACACTCCTCCTCTGCTACCTGAGTTACACTACTGCACAGAGCTGCCTGTAGCTGTACATGGCTCAGGTGCTTGATGCACCAGGGAGCACTATGGGCTCCTGCAGCACAGYTGGCTCTGTGGACTGTGAGAGGGAAAGATAAATACAATGCAGAGAAGGAGGCAAARTGATAGGCTAGACCTGAAATACAAGTGTATGTAAGTGGGGGTTTGAGTTTGTTTTTTGTCCTTTCAAGGTCCCTGATACACAGAGGATCTTTCAGGATCACCATTCTACTTTAAACATGATGGATTTGCCTCATCATCACTTGGTAAATGGTGCTCTCGGCAGCATGAGGATCATGTTATGTCTCTGACATGTCCCATCTCTAGAGGAAGTGCAGGAACCTGCAAATCAGATATGAGGCAACATGTCCAAGCCCATGTCCCAGCCCATGAACCCTGGGGGGAACCTTCACTAGCTGGGGACAAGCCTTGGCCTTCTCCCTGTACCTTCAACAGCTTTAGGTAGGCACTGCTTGGTTTGCTCTAAATAAAAGCACAGGAGTCAAGGACAAGGTGTGCCAACACCTGACCCTGCAGGAGCACTTGGCACATCTGACAAAAGGCTCAGAGCAGCTCAGCTCTGGGCCAGCAGCACATGCAGTGCTACAGCTGACTSAAGTGTGATATCCACCTCCTTCAGRAAGRCAGTGTTATACATTTCYCTCTTCTTCTTTSTAGGAGCAGTGGAGGTGATCAACGCCCGCGAAACAGTCCCACAAGTGTTTCCTCACAACTTAGTGCCTTGCCCTACTTCTGGTTTCCCTGTTGGTAAGGACACGGCCTGGGTCATCAGGGCTGTGTGCCCTCTTGGTGTGCACAGAGCTGAGGGTAGGGAACTGAGCACCTCACTGGAGCACCTCCTTTATCTGGAGCTCTGTTTAGTTTAACACACTACCTGGATCGCCGTTTGCAAAAGTAAGAAAAAATACTAGGTCCATAAAAATTCCTGTGGTAATAACACTGGCAACCTGACCAGTGAACTGATGGGGAGCCGGCATGAGAAGAAATCACAATGTAACTTCTCTCCATAGGAAGTCTGTGGTTTCAAGACCAGATAAAAGCTCTCATTTCCCAGAGAAAAAAGAAGATCAATAGATTTTTGGAAACAAAAKAAATCAATTTAGTGTTCTTGCCCATGACCATACATTGGGGAAGCATGCTGGCACGTTGAGGGTTGAGTTGCTGGGCTCAGGCACTCTTGCTTTAGCAGCACATCTTTGATCTCTCCACAGYTCTTGCTGTATTCCTTCTCCCCCAGAATGTTATCTTTTGGGGTTTGTCCTAGATTCTGGAGACGTTCTTATCCTTGGAAGAGCCTGAAAAGAAATCAGAAGCAACTCTGGTTGGAAGGGGACAGCTGGAGGTCTGCTCAAARCAGGGTGATATCAGGTGTTGCTCAGGCTGCTCAGGGCCTTKTCCTGTCACATTTTTTAATTYCTCCAGGCATGCAGAATTTCACAGCTTCCCTTGTTCTGGTTTGACCAGGCCCCATGAATTCCTTTCTCCAGCTGCTGCTTCCTTTGCTGCAGCATGTGCCTGYTGCCTGCTGTGCTTTCAGCACATGTCAGGTCAGGCTCCAGCCTCTCTATGCCCCTGCTATTCAGTAACAGGGAAACACATCAACAGGAGAAGGTAACAAACAAACCAAGGCTGCTTTTAGAAGCCTTCATTGCCTCTACCAACACACACTTCCATAGGAGAGCTTTCAGAGAGCTGAAACCCGCAAGCCAGTGACTTACTAGGTGTGACACTGCCCTTCTGCTCTTCAGGTCCCCGCTGGATTGGTGTGCCTGGAGAACTCCGTGGGTATGAGGAAGCCCACAAACGACACGGCCGCTTACCATGGAAAGCCCTATTTGAACCAACTATCAAGCTCCTTTCAGAGCCATTGGTCATTTCCCCAGTTCTGAACAAAATACTCCATCACCCAGCCTTCTCTGTCCTGGGGAAAACCCTGTGGTAAGACCCATGAATGAAACTACAGTGTGAGGACCACTGTTCCCTCACCTTCAGACCCTTTCTTTGACATGCCAACATGGAGCACAGGCTGCTTCTGTGGCTTGCGCTGAGAGAATACTTCCTTTTGAGTGGGAGGGAATCACAGAAGTGGATTTTTAAAATAGGCTGTAGTGTAGCACTGCCTTGGAAAGTACACAACATGCATAATCCAGATCAGCTCTGGGCAGGAAAAAGGGGTTATTGACCCTGAGGACAGAACAAGCTCATGCTATAAAACTCACGAATGTTCTTCTTTAACAGCCCACTGCTATGTGATGGTCAAAGATTTCTGAAGCTTGGCGACAGCTTCCGSTGGCCAGTGCTGCAGCAAACACTGCAAGCTGTAGCAGAACACGGAGCTACAGCATTTTATGAAGGAGAGATAGGAAAGGCCCTGGTGGAGGATCTTAGGAAGGCTGGTAGGTAAYAGTTACATTTAGTCCTGATAGACAGCCCTTTCCCCAGCCATTGGCTCACATGAGCCTGTTTCAGGAAAAAGCCATCATATGCCATTTGCTTGTCACTTGGGATGGTACCTGACATGGGAAGAGGCCACCTTTCCACAATTCCTATCACTCAGGCCMAGAAGCAGGGCTGAGACCACCCATTGCTCTGGCCTTTGCCCACAGTGCTCTTGCACTGGCCCCTCTGACTCCCTTAGGCTTGTGACATCCTGGAGCCTGGCAGCACATGAGGACATGTGACAGCAGTGCTGTGCTGGGTGGAAGGAATTTGGAGTGTGCAGAGGTGGCTCTTCACCTTTATCAAGCTTTATCAAGGCTCTGATGTAGGCAGCCCATGGCATCAGTAGAAGTTGTTGTGCTAATTGCAGCTTCTGGTTCTCTGTTGAAGGGTCCAGTCTCTCAMTGGAGGACCTTCAGGCATACAAAGCAGAGGTGTCCTCAGCTCTGAACATCACCCTGAATAACCACACCACAATGTTCGCTCCAGGACCACCCATGGGAGGTGCAGTGCTCATGTTCATCCTCAAGGTATTGGAAGGTAAATTACTGATGGAAAAGGGTCAGCAAGAGGTTCTCAGAGAGTGTTGCTCCAGAGTGATAAAATGTAATGGGCAGAAATGGAGTTGTTGAGCCAGAATGGGGCCCAGAGTAGCAGTGTGACCATGCTATGCAGCAGGAGAATGAACTGGTTCATTTGTACAGTGGGTCAGCATCACCACAGCTACTGCAAAGGCCAAGGATACATGACTTTCCCAATGCTCCAAAAGAAATTAAAGTCAGAGTGGAAATCAGTACTTGGTTMTTTCTGCATCCACATCCTGCTAAAGCATAGGGGAAACTTGGTAAGAACTGGGATGGGAAGAGGAGGTTCCTTTCAACTTTTTTTTTTTAATTATTGAAAAAACATTGCCTCAGGTCTATTAACAAAAATTATTGTATCCTGCTCCTTAGGATATAAATTCCACGAAGCATCACTGGCAACACCTGAGGAGAAGGTAGAAACCTATCATCGCATTGCAGAGGCCCTGAAGTTTGGCAACATGCTAAGACCCCACATGAGTGACCCAGCCTTCTCTGAAGCTAAGGTGAGCTCCATGGTGCATGGGTACAGTGCTACAGCACCAAGCAATGCTCTGACCTGCTCCTGYTTTGCAGTCTGGAAGTGAAGAAAATACTCTGGAGATGCTACTGAAGAGAAATGCAGCTGAGCTGGCCAAAGCAGAGGCTGGATCAGGCCGTTTACTCTGCAGCTCCAGCTGCAGGCTGACACTCACTTTCCTGGCAAAGCATGTGCACATGCTCGTGCCAATGCTGAGGTGTCTTGCTGCTGAGCTTGGTCCGTTTTCTGGGATGAGAGTGGCCTGGGGCTGAGTGCTGCCACTGCAGGGCCCCGAGCTCTGACTGTTGGGGCTGAATTGCTGTGGCTTCCATGTGCCTATAGCTGTGCCTGTGCTTTGGTGACCAGCTCAGTGTCCTTGCTTTGTTTGCAGGTGCCTGTGGGAACCCTGTTGTCTGATCAGTTTGCTGAGCTTGTGAGGCAGCGAATAGATGCTCGTGGTGACCACTCACTGAGCCACTACAACCTGCTGGARTCCCTCTACAATGACAAATATGAAAGTATGGGCACGAGCCACATCTCCGTGCTCGCTGCAGACGGCAGTGCCGTGTCTGCCACCAGCACCATCAACTACCCGTGAGTAGCCCAGGGTTTGGTAACTGAGTCACACAGGCCACCTGTCAGGTTCACAGGGTACCTGCGAGGGCCGGGGAGCAGAAATGCAAAACCCTTGTGTTTCACAGGTTTAGGCAGCTTTTTAGCTGTGAATGCCTTTTTCCTGTGACAGTAAAGGTCTGTGAGCATCAGCTTCAATGACAGTCATAATTCAGGAGGATGCAAGAACCTGATGAGCTCTTGCTGAGTTTCTGTGGGTTCAGCAAATCCCCACAGGCACCAGTAACAGGGAACTTATCTCTGTCACCACCAGCAGCACAAATTCTCTTTGGACACCCTCACTGGGGCACTTGGAGGCTGGGAGGAGGCAGAGGTAATGCACATGGTGCCATGTGCAGTTAATGTCATCCACAACAGGAGAGCCCTGGGCTCTGAAAGSCTTCATCTTTCCTCTCTGCAGGTTTGGCTCCTTTGTGTATTCTAACCAAACTGGGATCATTTTAAATAATGAACTTGCTGACTTCTGCATAGCAAACAGGAGCATTAAATCAGGTGAGCATCATCATCCTCAAAACAAAGCACAGGGCCAGGGGATGGATATACAGGCTATGTCCAAGTGGGTAGGGACTATTTGTAAACTACAGGTACTCTTTCCTTTCTTAGGGCTGGATGAAAGCAAGTTTGTTTCAGGCTAAAAGAGGATAAAACCTTAGAGTGTGTCTGCATCTACTCATATATCCTTCTGCATAGAAACACAGGAGTTGTGGTTTCTAACCAGAGAAATCAGAGATTAAACAATGCTAAAGCTGATCACTGATTGATGTGAAGGGGAGGGAAGGAGTGAAGAAATTACTGCTAAGACAAGTCTGCTGATATTTTAGGTTCATCTATGATTGTGAGTATCGAGCTGTTACAGGCTTGCACTGAGCTGTGTGACACAGCAGTGGTGGTGCAGAAATGGCTCTGTGCCAGCAGTCCCTGGTGCATCCCGCTCAGGCCTGCTGGAAGAGGACACCAGTGCTGCCATGGAAGGATGATTGGATGAGATTGGGTGAGATGCAGCAAGTCCTGAATACTTGTAGGATGCCCTATCCTCATCAATTGGATGCCATAAAGGTCTCAATGTTTTGGGAGACAGGCTTTTCACAGATTTTTTTGGAAATCTTGAGGAAGAGCAGCAGCTTATTTTTCTTGGGAGACAAAAGAAAGGCAAGGTAGATGAAGTTGTGTGCCTCCTACCCTGTTAAGAGCCATATGAAAAAAATAATATCTGTGCTTCTGCTCTAGGAGAGAAGCCTCCCTCAGCAATGGTGCCTTCCATCCTCATCTCCAAGACAGGAGACATGCTGGTGATAGGAGGAGCAGGAGGGGCCTGGATTATCAGTGCTACCACCATGGTGAGTGAACAGGCACCACACAGCAACMCCTTCCACTGAGCACGGAGAAGACACACTGTCCTGAACAAAAGAAATTGCTTTGCTGCTGCTAATTCTATGTGGAAAGCAGTGACAAGGGCCTGCGTCAGGCTCACCTGACCTCACCTTCTTACCTCTATCACAAGAGGTAAGAGGGCAAGGGCAGGGCTTGGCTTCAGCCCTGCTGCCGAATGGCTCATCCCTTTCCCCAGAAGGAGACAGGAATGAAGGAGGTGACAGAACCCACAGCTGTTGCCAGTTCTTTCAGCCCTCCCRGATTTCCAGGCATGATCAGTCCTAACTGCTCTTTCTACTCAGCTCTCCTCAGATCTTGACTCCTTGATGTTTTTTTTTATTTGCAATTTAGAAGTCACTAAAGGCTGCAGGCTGTGGGCCAGGGAAGTATCATGTGCTTATCCTATCCTTTTACTTGCCCCAAGCATCTGGTATTGATATCATGAAAGCAAGAGACCAGGCTGGTAGGACTGTGGGTCTTGCTCAGTGCAGCTCATGTTGGACAGCTCAGGTTTTATCTCGTCAGGCAGTGTGGGATTTGTTTCATTGCAGGCAATTATAAACAAGCTGTGGTTTGGCTACGACTTGGAACACGCCATTTTAGCTCCTGTCATGCACACCCAGGGTGACAGTGTCCTGTTCGAGGAGCATTTCAGTCAGGTGAGTGGCCTTGATGAGAAGAAGATTGCTTCTGTAATTCTCCTGGGTAATCTTTATTTTACCTCTAACTCACCTCCTTCTGGTTTAAACTCATTTCTCAACCTGACGCCACATGCAACAGCAAAGTTAAGTCCTCAGGCCCCTACCTCATTCACTCTATTTCCTCTTCTCTCCCCCACAGGAGGTTAGGACTGGCCTGCTGGAGAGAGGACATAAAGAAAAGAAAGATAAATTTGCAATGAATGTTGTGCAGGGAATTTCCAAGGAAGGAAAATTCATCTCTGCTTTCTCTGATAAAAGGAAGCTGGGGAAGTCGGCTGGATATTAGTGTGAAATGCCATCACAATTCACAAAGCCTCAGGAGATTCAGAACATGCCTTGCTTGGACATGCCCATAATTGCCTGTTCCCATCAGGATGTCTCCYAGAGCACAGGCAAAGCCTGTGATTACATCTAATTCCAGCAGACTGCAGGTCTCCCTCAGGCAATACAAGGAGAGGTCAGCCAGCCTTGTTTAGAGCTACCTTCCATTATTATGTGATACACAGAAAACATATTTCTTGAGCACATCAGTTACTCAGAATGAGAGAACACAAAGTGCGAAAGGAAAATTGGTCCAAAACCCACTAGGATCACTGTGAAATGACCCAGCTGTATCTTCCATTCCTGCTGGAGTCTCGGTTTCTTTCAGGCTGTTTCACAAGAAGCTTGTTATTACCAGGGCTCAGCAATGTGAAATACATAACAATTTTAGCTGTGATCAAGAAGTGTCTGTAGGGTCGGGATTTTAAAGTCCGAAGCATACAGGTTTAGAGAGTGGGTTTAGAAAGGGAAGAGATCAAAATTCCACACACCCCCTCTCAGTTTTCCCATCCAAAGAAGCCCAACTTTTCCCTAAGGTGGCAAATGAAATCACATCATGGCACAAGTGCTGCCCTGCCCGCTGCTCTCTGCCTCGGGAGTGCAAAGGACCCCACAGCCTCAGAGTAACTGCACCAACACTTCCTCCAGCYCTGCATGTGGTGACTCTGAGAACGGCCTCCCATGGGGGGATGTGGATTCCCTGCCCCTGGGGTGGACAGACTTCAGATGAGCTCCCTGGAGGCCTCTCCTTGCGGTGAGAGGAGTCCCAGTCTGTGCCAGTTCTCCGTTCTCAATGCCGGTACATCAATCTTTGGGAAGGCAGCTCAGGACTGCAGTGGAAGTGGTGTTTAGAACTTTCTTCAAACTGCAAAGGATATGTGATCAGGAGATGTTGTTTGTAGCCCTGAGCTCAGYCTGGCCAGGAAACACAAAGACTGCTGAGAAGTGATGCAGGACTATCAGGCATTAACAGAATTCTCCCTTATYCTACGCACATGCTCCAAATCCCTGTTTACCACAGCTGGTCTCTAGTGTTCCCTTCAGACCACAGGGAAGGCATTGTAGGACTCAAAGAACTATCAGAGAAAGAAAACGTTTGGAGAAGAGACCTGAACTCATGCACCTGGATGCAAAAAGTCTTTTGCAGTTAATCCATAACCTTGCCCTACTCAAAATGACCAAGAGAATCAAGCATTTAACAAAGTAAAACTTAAAACCCTGAAAAAACCCAAAGCTCTTCAAATATGCAAGGTCAAATTCCCATAATCCTAAAAAATTCCATTTTCTGAAAGCTTTCAAGCTTGATTGCCCTATGGGCACAGTGTTGTGTGTGTATCTGAAAGAGACTCAAACGAGAGCCAGGCACGAGCAGACCCCTCCCCTCTGCACACACAGCCCATGGCACTCCTAGTTCACCAACAAATGCAATCCCTCTGTAAACATTGTAACACGCACACACTGTTTAAAAACACAAATTAAAACAAGGCCAGCTAGATTTTACGCCAATGTTTTTACCCACAAAGCCTGTCCAATAAACACAACAATTTACTGAAATCTCAACCTTCATTTGGATTTCTCAGGGAAGCTGACCAGAGCCAGACATGTGTTTTCCTTCACAAGCTGTACATCAAGGACTGTGGCGTGACCACTGCTCTATCAGTTAATGATGGCTGAGTTACCAGATCGTAACCACAAGCATTTAATCATGCAGCTGGAAATCAAGTTACATGTGTATGGAGCCAGCTCCATGCACTGCCCTGCTRCCCCTTATCCCAGTGGAATTCTTAAATCCTCGAGTTCAGGAATGAGGAACTGCTAGTTTCACCATCAGAGCTGTTCACTCACACCATGGAAGTGGCTTGGCACCCTGAGAGGCAGCATTACAGTGCTGGGAAGTGAATGGGAAAAGCAAAAATGGGAATGGGAAAGCAAAAAGGCCCAAAGGCTGAGGAGGGGYAGTTTTATGTTCACTTGGAAGGGGTTACATTGACTACAACTACCAAAGAAACCAAATCTATTAATTTGCTGAAGTTTTCTACCTTGGTTAACTCTCTTGCCCCAGCTACCAGCTCCTGGGTGCAATGGTTCTAGTGTCATTTAGAAATAACACCCGACTGAGAGCTGTGCAGGGGAAGCACTGCCAGGCGCCAGACACCATCTGCAGCTCCCAGACGCACAGACTAGACCGGATGCTGCCTTTGGCAGGATCCATGGTTATTTCCAGCTAACCCCACTGAGCCGAGAGTTTACAATCAGCATCTGAGAGTGACACTGGCTGCAGACAGGGAGAGCAGTCCCTGCTGGGCCTCAGGGCCACCTTCAGCAGCTCTCTGGTCCCACTCCATCATGTTTCACTACAGCAAACCCAAGTCACCAAGTAAGGAAGTCTTCCATTAGCTTTGCTTCTGATACACCTTAGAGTGAAGCACCCTGCAGTACTCCAGCCTATCACCTTTCCAATGCAGCAGTATCACAGCTACTTCCCACCACAAAGASATGGGAATATTATCTTTAGTCCAGTACCCATTGCAATTTATCTACTTTGCTACTAACCTTGCAACTGAGCCAATGGAGCAGTTTAAAAATGCATCACAGCTTTAATTTTCAAGACAGAAAGGAATGGGAGTGCAGATCTCTCAGTATGGCAGAGACTCCAGTCCTACAGTCCTCCCTCCCTAGCAGAACAGTCGGTGAAGTTGAGAGATTGTACCTCCCTTGACACCTCTGTTCTTGCTCTGCCACCTCCACATTGCTGCTGAAATCTGCTTGGGTCAAGAGYCTCCCAGTTTGATCTCTCCCCATTCCTGCTCCTCCCAACAAGAGAGCATTATTTTTGTACTGAAATCAACTTACACAGAGTCTTAAAGCATTATTGTACAGAAGGTGCTCTATTTTCTRATGAAGTCTTTAAGTTATACTTTTAATAAAGCTTTTTTAAACCTGACTGGGAATTTCTGCTAAATCTGTTGCCTATCCCATCACACAAGCAGAGAGGACTCTACACAGGTGTATCCAGCAGCAACAGTTCTTCATTCTGGAGTCTCATATACCACTGGAGAAGCTGAGGAATGATGCAGCTTGTRCCACTTGTCTCTCACAGCTGGGTTTTGTCCCCTTGCTGGATGGTTGCCGACAGAAAATTGTGGTAATGTCAGACTGAAGAACAGGGGCAAGAGGTGAACCCTCCAGGTCATGATCTGATTTGCCTTTTAATGGTACAGCTTCTTTTCACATCARCTGGAATCAGCCATGGAACGTGTCCTGTTCTTCATGCCCTGCACTGGGTCAGGCAGTTCACACCARCACAGKGTGGGCCCAGGAGCAGAGYRAGSTGCTTSCMTTCAAAAGRTGGGASATRGAATGATGATRGACCTTAGAGATCATCTTGCTCTGACCCCCCTGCCATGGCATGTCACTCATTAGACCCAGTTGCTCCAAGTGCCATCRAACCTGTYCTTGAACATTTCCAGGCAAGGGGCAGCCACAGCTTCACTGGGTAACCTCTGCCAGGGCCTCAYTGCCMTCAGAGTCAAGAACTTCTTAATATTTAATCTAAATCTACCTTCTYTTACTTCAAAGCCAATCTCTCTTGCCCTATCCAGAAGATTTTTCCCTGCAGCTGAAACATCCCAGAAGCTGAGCAGCGTGGAGGGTACAGTTGGAGGTTTTACAGCAGGACTGCTGACTGATTGATGCTGTTGATGCACRGACAGCCCCAATGCAAGGTGAGTAGTGGGATGTGGTATCCAAGCAGGTGGCAGAAGTGCCTGCTYTGTGTACAGATATGTCCAAATGAGATGCAGATAATTACAGCTTGTAGAAGCATCCATGGCTTTTTTAAAAAACGTAGGATGTAAGTGAAAGCTGTAGCCCAGTTTAACAAATCATTCCTCTGCAGCAATACTGCTAAAAAACAACCAAACAAATCTACTTCTGCAGAATCAAGACTTCAAATGCATTTATATAAGAACTATTGTAACCAGAGTGTTTTTAGTTTTCCATAGGGGAAATTTTGTAACAGTAACACAGGTTATAAATAACAGGGGACTTTTCTGACTAAAATGAAGACAATGAAGAACATAAGAACAACTGCTGCACCTTGAACTGTTAGAGGCAGCCCAGCAGCAACCACTCAGACTTGTTTCAGAAAACATGATTGCCCAAGAGAAATTTCCCAGAAATCAGTTCCCTTCCAGTTTTGGACTAACTGTAAGATTTCAATAAGCTTATTTTGCTGTGCAGTAATTTTCTTTATTTCCCAAGTCACACCTAGCCAAGAAAGARCTCAGCTAGTCCCAATTCCAAAGGCAGCCTGACACTGAGGAACACCAGTGGTAGAATTACAAGAACTGGAAAAGTGAAAGTTTCAGTTCAGTGATAAGGGGACACAGGCTTGGCCCCAAACTGGTCTCTTGAGGGAACAAGAGGAAACACAATGACTTAGAGGGCATTTGCAATCGCTGCCTTTGCTGCACCTAATTCAGTACCACCGGTAAGAGCTCAGGAAAAGGAGCCAGAGCACACCACAGGGCACATTTGGTAAAAGCCACTCATTTGGGTCAAACAATATAAGCAAATGTACATGTCAAAGTCATGACTCTGATTTAAGCATCACCTAGGCATCACTTCATTCTGTGAAACTGGACTSTCCTCAATTCCAGACACTTCTAAGAAAGAGAGGGTGCATGACGCCTGAAATTTCAGCCTTTCATTTTCTCTTCTGTATTTTAAAGTTCTTTAAAACAGACAGGAAGTTTCAACAAGCCAAATAGATGAGTTAAGCTACTGTCATTTGCGCATCAAGGATTTCATAAACGCCACTAGAGCTTGACAACATCCTGGATCATTTGGTTTTGATCTTAGGCTAAGTTTATGTGATGTGATGTATTGTTCCATGCTGGTAGGTGAACACCAAACCCTCTCATGCAGGTACAGACACTTTCAGCTGCTCCATGTCAGACAGGGATTTCTGAGAGATCATTGGCTTCTGGTTAATGGTAACTTACTTTCAAACAAGTTTCAAACAAATGCCCTTTTTCAGAAGTTTCATTTCCACAAACTCTGACATTTTACGCCTGCGGTACGACATGGTAGAAAGCAAAGTGGGGAAAAACAAGTTTGTTTTGGATATGTAACTATTATTGTTTACTCRTGACTTCATCAAAGCAGTGAAAAAAAGACAAAAATCTCAGAAGAGCTTCTTTCACACAGACTGTCACCATCCTTTTTGCAGCAACTGCGCAGGCAAGGAAAATGTGTGACTCCGTATTTATTTATTTTAGTTGTGCTCAGAGTTTTACAGGTAGCATCTTCCCTTTAGACCTTCTCAACAGAAATATAAAAAAGTTTGAAGCCATTTCCCCATTTCCCCACTCATCTCCAATAATCAACTGGGTGAAATGCAGAAACATCTTTTGTTAACAGAGTGGTGAGTTTGGCTTATCCCAGTCTAGAGCTGGGCTTCCTGCTATGGCACAGATCTATTAGTTTGTAACTTAGAAAACCCAGTCCCAGAGTCCTRTAACTCCCACCTACTCAACAGGAAACAAATATCTTCTCTAGCAGTGACAGGGACATTCCTGGTAGCTGACACTGAGCAGGGCAAACRCTTCCTGCAGCTTGAATGAACTGGACCTTCTGCAGAAACTGGGCACCCAATTTGTCTTCATGGGATGGAGAGGAGGCAGGGAACAAACTCTTCAAGGCAGAACAGACTCTTCAAGTAAGTACTGCATGTCCTGGTGGACATGCCTGTCTTAGCAGACGGCTGTGGCATGAGGCACTTCGGTCATGGCTGTAGAGAACTGTCCCAGTTCCGTCAACAGAATCACAGGTAAATGTGTCTTTCCTGTGAGAAGTCCCTGAGTTGCAGATCTAAAGGATCTTCCCCCCAAACACACCTTGGTGTCACTAGACCACTGAAAAAAGGAGCCGAGGCAGGTCAGTATCCTGCAGGGAAGCCCCCTTTCCGCGAGTCGGAGGCTGCAGCCCATCCGCGCTCCGTTCTGAGGATGGCCTGCACCACCGCGCCGCCGCTCACCCGCGCCGTCTCGTGCTTCCTCTGCTTCAGCTGCTCCTCRATGCCCTGCAAGGCACAACTGCGTGAGCACAGCAGCACAGGGAAACTGCACACAGGCTGCAGACTGCCACCTGCATCCCCCACACCCACCACGTGCTCAGTGCCTGGGTCAGGTAGGGCTAAAGCTRTGTGTTGTTCTTCCTCTTCCCTTTGCTTCCCAGGATGCTCTGCTTTTGAAGCAGTGGAATTCAGAAGATGTGCTATTTGCAGTGCTCAGTGTAGGTTACCAATACTATTCCTGGTCACAGATATTCACACTGACTGTTGGGCAGTGGAGGAAAACAGGACTTGTAGAGAGCAGGGCATCCTCCCCAGTGCTGACAGATATCTCAGGTGTTAACCTTCATAAGAAGCTTATTAAGAGAGGAACTWCTGCACAGTTTGGTAAGAAAACTGCCTTCCACTCCTTATGTAGGAGTGTTTTCCCAAATACAGAGGCACAGGATGAGATATGTACAAAGTCTGCATCTATCTCAGGCCTTGGAGATGTGCAGTTTCTCAGGGTGGGTGAAACTGCCAGCTCAGGTGAGTGGTCTGCAGAGTGAGGCAGACCTTGCCATCAGCTCTCAGACTGACAGCACTGTGCTGGGATCTCTGTTGTGAGTATATTTTCAAGTCTGTTTCCAGGTCTGTCTGGGCATCCCCCCTCACTAGCTCTGGGCCAGGCCTTCCAGATTCATTATGAGGTTGCACAATAGGACAAGAGTTCTCTGAGACTGACTGGATTGCAGCTGCTGGATGGTCTGGGCCCTGATGTGGTGCTGTTTTGCAAGTCCTTTGAGYCAAACATCACTGCAAGCAGATGCTCAGCTTCAGATTCAGGCTACTCTTCAATGCACTGGCTTCCCACCTGTGTGGCTGAGACTAAAGGTACACTTTGAACAGCTTAGTGTGACCCAGCACTAGACCTGTACCAGCTGTACTACTGCTCACCTAGGAACATTTGGCCAAACCTGATGATTTTCCACAGGACTTCCCTTCCCAGCACTAGGAACCAGCCCATCCAAGTTCATATATAGCTCTAGTGACACCAACCTCCTCTATTTGCAGCTCAAGCTCYGTGACATTGGGAAACAGCTGATCGTGAATTCGGGGCTCTTCCACTGCTTTCTTCACATCGTAACCAAACCAGATGGAATTCATGATTGTCTGTAAGAAGCAAAAAGCTTTAATGTTAATCACTTATCTTCAAAGAGGTCTGACCCTTGTAGCCACACAGGCAGAGGTGCCTCAAGGATGTTCACCAGAGCACATAAAAGGCACCGTTTCTGGTTTATGTGGCTTTCAGTGCTTCTTCTCTTGACTAAGCAAAACACAGGTACATTGCAGCCAGTCAGCTTGTATATGTTTAGGAGGATTCCCATACAAAGAAACCATTCCCACTGTGCCTAAGCTGAGCTCTTATTTAGCTTCTYTGTGTGACTTTCATCCAAAGTTTGGGATGTTGGATGAGAATGGCWCTAAACTAGGTAAATAGGTTCATGGAGATCCAGAGAACAGAACCCAAAGTTAATCTGAAGTCACAAATCTTGTGCAAGTGTTAAGAACAACTTGTCAAAGAAAAAGACCTGGAGTCACTGAAAGAGGC